AGACGCATCGAATGAAATACATGATGACCTCGAGGTCACGTGACCTGAGGTCAACCTTTGACCTTGACCTTTCGAGGTCAACATATATATCATTCGATGCGGATTGACGAGAGGATCACGATGATGCCCTTAGTTTGTTCCTATCTTGACTAATTCGAAAGTTATTCGAGAAAAACTCTCTCCATATCTAGTGCCGCCATTTTGACTTTTTCGACCCCTGTGACGTCATCTTTGACCTGACCTGAAAATGACCTTAGTAAAAATTGTAGATCTTGGCCGTGCGTATCCGATGCCGTTTACCGCTTGTCGCTAGCTTGCTTCGTTCTCGAGATCTCAGGGGGGGGCCGAATCGGCCCCCCCCCGCCAGTTTCTTGTCCCGGCGGAGCCCGCCAGGAATAGGGTTAAGAGGCACTAGTGCGGGGCCCTCAGATATGGCAATGTATGGCCCTCGGAGGCGCCGGTGTAGGTGCTCCACAGTTGCCGGTGATGGCCCTCACAGGCGCCGTTGTGGGGGCTCTCAGAGACACTGGTTTAGGGCCATCACAGGCGCGCGTGTGGCCCTCAGAACTGCTGTTACGGAACGGACCCTTCATAGGCCGACAAGAAGATATCAAGAGGTCACCGGTGCCTTCAGGAGCCTTGTGGGGTTCTCAGAGACCGAACATGGTGCTCTCAGACGCCGCTGTGACCCTCCGAGTCACCTGTGTGGGACCGTCAGGGTCGCTGGTAACTGACGAGGGTATCGCCGTCAGATCCGGGGTTTGGGTCGATACGGCTCTATTCCGGCTAGCCAGTATATGCCGTAGCGCTCCCGGGTTGTTATGGTTCCGAACCGCCAAGTCTGGCTCAAGTCAGTCAGACTCCCTGCCATGGCTCAAGTCCGGCTCCCTACGACCAGGTCCGGCTGCACCTCATAGCTGCTCTGGCTTACTGTTGCTGAAGTACGGTGGAGGTACGGCACGGCTGATGCGGCATAAGTCCGGCTGTGATGCGGGCGAGCTCCGGTATCGTGTGTCAGCTCCAGTAGAGCCCCAGACCTTGCCCGTACTTTAGCCGGAGCAAATGCCAGAGCTAGCCAGAGTAAGACCAGCTACGGCCAGGACCAAATTTGCTGGCTGGGAATAGGCCGGTTAAGACCCCCATAGTCCGACATGTGGCCCTCCGAAGCCGGTAAGGGGCCCTCAGAGGCCGCCAAGTGGCCCTCAGAGACTGGCTTGGGGCCCTTGTGGAGATCTTAGTGTTGGTACTTGTGGGCCCATGAGGGGTTTTTACGAGCCCCGTGGATCCCTTCTATGTCCAAATATGGCCAGCATTGACCCTTAGCGGCCAATTGGCGCCGGGCACGTGCTTCACGGCCCACCTGGCTACGCCACTGGGGAAAATCGTAAACCCGTAAATATCCAAATGCGATCACCTGTCATTTTTCATCGATATTGGGATCGTCTGATTACCGCCAGAGCCTCGTAGCTACCGTTGCCTCCGCGCAATGTCCGCCCCTGCGGACCGCAGCGGCTGCTGCACCGGTGCTAATCACCGTCATTGGTTTGTCACCTTATTACAGAGGTGTCGGGGCTGCTGCCATGCTGCCGGCAAATATATTTTTTTCGGAAAGATGTTTATGTAATCAGGTAGCCAAGTACTAGGACGAGCAGAATGATTTGCAAGAAGAACGTTCTGCCCTTGGGAAATGTTAGTATATAGAAATCCCGGCATTATCAGTACCTTATGGTGATAACCAACCCCGCCTTGTACGGTTGTGCCGCATGGCAAAGCTGCAATCTGTCACCCGGTGCAGCGGTTGAGCACCCCCAACCATTTTGAAAAATCGACACCCCTGGTGCGCCGTTACGAGACGCAGATATTTTTTTATAAATTTAGTCCGAACCTTTTGATAAGAAGGACTCACAAGGACAGAGCCACCGCTAAGCGAAGCTTGTTGCGGTGACCCTGCCCTCTACCCTCCGATCGCGCAATTCCAGTGCTATGGCAGAATTCAGAGTCCAAAGTTTAACGTGCGCACATAGCCGCGCACGGCCGGTCCCCTCACTGACTTCGCCTGGCTACGGCCTGCCACCAACCGCAACCATACCTGTCAGGAGGCCCATAAATGTCGAGCGCCCGTCGCGCTTCGAACCCGGACTGTTATAACCGGGAACGCGTGCTCTCACCACGCGGAGTCCAACGCTCTACCAACTGAGCTACGGGACCGGCGAATACCCGATTGAAAGATTGATACCCGATTTTAAGGTCCTAGGTCAACCGGTGACCTCTGAGGTCAGGTCAAGTGCACCAAGGTACGGTTTCGTTTTTGGTGAATAACTTCGCAAAAAACGGTCGCAGAGCCGCGATTTTGGCAGCATCGTGTTCGCCTCGCGCAGGCGCGTCGAATGATAAACTTTTTATTTGGGTGAGGTCAACTTCGGGTGTTGACCTCAGGTCACGGTCAGGTCAGCACCCCCAGGTCACGAAATCGGTCGAAGTAGGTCATGTCGCATGTCATTCGATTCGGCAGGTCTTCCTGAGTTCATTGGTGGCTTTCCCGACTCGCTAGCTCAATTTGACGCAAGGTCAACATTGCAAAAGTGACGCATCTTATCTTGCAAGGAGTGCACCAAATCACGGTTCTGTGTGCTTGAGATAGTTGGATATCGTTCCCGGCGCCAGAATAGCAGTTTTCATTTTTCCCCATTGACTTATAAAGGTGAGGTCACGAAAATGACCTGACCTCATATGACCTTTACGAAAAATCCGAGATATACAAGTTGTGAGACTAGTAATGGATATTAGATCCTGCAAGTTTCATTTTCCTGTGAAATCTACTCCGGCAGTGAGGGCGTTGCGAAGTTGCGACATCTGAAGACCGTGCAGAAGTTCGCTTATGACGTCACAGGTCAGTGACCTGACCTGACCCGAAAATGCGGTTGGTGTCAAAAGATCCGGCTTGAATCAACGGTCAGGAATGTTAAGTTTCAGCTCTCTATCGCCAGCGTGTTCGGAGCTATCGCGAAAAAACCTATGGGGGGGGCGGCACCCGCCCCCCCCCCCCCCCTCGGCCGGCGAGGGTTAAGCCGTCTGCGTCATTGGCGTCGCCCACGCTGAGTCGGCACCTATGATGCACATTGCACAAGTGGACTGATCGTGATTTCAAGTTGCGCACTTGTGTAGCTGTCTAGCTGATGCGAAACGCTGACGGTGATTTTTCATCTAGCGACATCACAGTCACCGATAACGTTCCCGGACGAAGCACACCTAAGTAGCTTATGTATCTATAACCTCAGAGTTCGTAGCAGGTGGCGAGTTGCAGCTTGTTGTTGCTTGTTGCATAAAGTGTGTCTCAGAATGCACTGCTGCGTGAAGCTGAGCAGAGTACCTAAGGCTCGGATGTCAGAATATCTAGGGACAAAGCTGAGATCACAGATGTCTAAATGCCGAAAAGTGTGCGTCTCAGCACTCAGGCTACCGTGAGACAAAGCCAAAAGCTCATATTGGTCGCTTATTCTCTCTTAATTTCTTCCGTACCTTCCATTCCTCTTCTCCACTTTCCATTCCACTCCTCCCCTTATCGTCCTCACTCTTATCCTCCAAACATTTTCTCTGCTCCCTATTTATCTTCCTATTTATTTCCCCAATCTTTGCCTATACAGGGGTGGGCAGATAAATTGGGACAAATTTCAACTTCCTCTAAAACGACAATTTTTTGAGTGATTAAGATAATTTTTGAACATGAATATAGGCTAATGAATACTTTTCCATGCTATGCAGGTTGCGTTGTAATTTTGAGTCGGCTGGTCACAGAACGTGGGCTTAAGCAAGTCACTATCAACTTAGTCCGCGCCCACATGCATGCCAATACTCTAATTATGCTCCATCAAATGGCTGAAAGTAGTGTGTATCGAACAGACGTAAACGTTGGAGGAAGAGAAGATGTTGAATTATCCTTACATACTTATTGCATTGACACCGGCCGCTCCCCCGGTTTTCCAGGGGGGCTAAAAGGCAAAATTCAGTTAAATCAGAGGATCCTCGCGAAAACAGTGGCGCGAGCTTACAACGAAGGTAGCCGCGCCATGAGAAAGCGATATACCAGCACCTCAAACATGTACTCTTATGCATTGATGCATATCAACCTGTTATCATAGATGTTGAAGCAGCTGTGACGTTAAAAAGATCGTTTCCTCTTGAAGGGCTTGGAGAAGCGAGCAAGCACGTGCAGGTCTTTTTCGACGATGGTATCCCCATAACCGAACATATGAACAACCGCAAACACCATGAAACATCGCAACCAGCCCAGAAGACGTGATCTTAGTTCCAAAAAGCATGCAGCAGAGCTCGGTGATGGCATTCCACTCGGTGACTTCTGACGGCCACGTGGGGCCCCCTTATTTTACGGAATCGGGAGGGGGTTCGCCATTACAGCGTACCTAACCATTATTCCGGCAGTTCGAATCAACAAGATGGAAGAAGGCAACATTCTGCATGGAGTGATGCTCTTCGAAGAGTCAGCTCCCCGGCATACAGTAAATTAAATACAAAATCTCCTGAAACGGAGGATCCCGCAATTTGTACCCAAGGGAAAATGCCCCCTTCCTCATTAAACCTCAGCCCACACAAGTTCTGGTTGCTGGGGCGTTTTTGCGGGTGAGTCTAACGAACGTCCCCATGTGACTGTGGCGAGCCTCAGCAGTGCCAGTTGGCTACAATTACGAGCCATTTCAGACGGGAGATCTCGCCGCGCGTGCGGCCAGTCCAGGCACCGATAAGGACTGATGCAGGTGGACCACGGTGACCATATTTGGTGATAAATGTGTGAAATTGGTGTGACAATATGTGATCAAAATTTGAAATGCCTACGTTTACAAATTTCTAAGCTACGGCGTTCTGAATGCAAATATGTATTTTGTCCCAATTTATCTGCCCAACCCTGTATAACTCCCTATTTACCTCTTTCTATAATCCCTCTCTTCCACGTCTCAATCCCCAGCAATTATTCCTCCACCCACCTGACTCTTGACGTTCCTGCTGTTGAGGCACACGTTGACGCTCCAGGCGTTGCGCTTCTTGCTGAGGACCTTGCGGAAGTTGCTGGGATCGGCCTCGACCAGCAGACCCGTCCAGCCGAGGAACCTCTCCATGAACAGGGTGTTGGAGCGAGTCTCACCGTCCAACGCCCCGCATTCGACGAAAAAGCCGTTCCGCTGAAGAACGAGAGGGGAGGGAAGAGTTGAATCATAGCCAGAGTATGCATGGTAGGAGATGGGTGGCGTGTGTGAAGTTGCGAAGGGTTGAATGATGATAATTGCGAGGTTACCTACTGCTGAATTATTTCATTTGGACTCGGTGACTTAAGCTGGATAATTAAAAATGTTGCATCTCACAGTTATATGATTTTTTATAGCTATTAATAGCAAGTCATTTTGTTTTACATTATTCGTAATTAGGAAAAATACAAAGAATATATTTATTCTGCGTCTCGTTTGACCTTCTTATGGGTCACTATTCACCATCCATTCTCAGCGCGTTGTGGCTCCATGGATTTTCTTGAACTTAACCCTGTGGTTTCCCCCACAATTATCCTCGCCCGTCCCAAATACTCCCGTACCATGTTCTTGAGTGCCTCCAGGATCACTTTGGTCTGTCCTCTCGAGGGGTCCTTCTTCAGATTCTCCTGCAGGTTGTAAGGCTCGTAGGAGGGCGGCTTCAGATAGTTGGCTCGGATGTCCTCGATCATGATCTGTTCATGCGGTAGAAGTTGAGGTTGCTGTAGATCGGGAACGTACGGAATTTCTGCGTGAGAGAAATGAAGCAAGTTTAGAAACGTACATCAGACCAGCAGTGTGAGCACATGTACGACCCTCCAGGCATTTAGTAGTTGGTTGCCAACATCACAATAAGCGATCTGCATTGATGAATGCGTCTAATGGCTGTTGAAAACCATTGCCGAAGTGCATGCACGAGCCCTCTTCTCATTTCTATTGAGTCATTTTACAGGAGTGTCTCTGTCATTCAAAGTTATTACACCAAAAGCACATGAAGCTAACCAACCACTCTTTTGCTGGAGGGCCGTACATACAAGGATGGTCTTTTATCTCGCTTATTGGAATAATGCAAAAAATTATTGTTTTAGATAAGACAAGCTGTGCGAGAGTTCAGTTATTTCGACACACTTATAACGAATATACCTAAGTTGCATAAGAATATTATGTAATGAGTGAACAATGCACAGGCATCTTCAACAAGCATAAAATCAAAAATGTTAACCCGCGACCTGGTGGGGGGGCTATTTTTTGCCCCCCCCCCCTCCAGACTTTTCGAGATATCTCCAGAACCGCTGCGCCGATCGTCACAAACTTTCAGTACCCTCCCGGACATCAATTTTACACATTGTGACCAAAATTTTTTCCAAAGCCTATGATAGGTTGGCCGGAAATGACGTCAGAGTGACGTCATGTTCTGCCGTTTTCGACCCAAAAAAGGGTTTCGCGGGAAGAGCTGTCAGGCCTATAGCTTTGCAAATACAGAAAAATCACAAGGACATAAAAGCTGTAGAATCAACAGGGCTACAAAACTGCACTCTCGGATTTTTGAAATTTTTGAATTTTGACCCCCAAAAATAAAAAAAATAATGTTTTTTGATATAATAATCGAAAAATCCAAAAAGTTTTTTGAATTTCGCAAAAAACGGAATATATGTGATAGTCCTTACCGCCTTCCATCCACATACCAAATTTGAGATTGATACCTCTTTTTTTGGCGAAGTTATAGCGAAAAAAAACTGTTCAAAATTGATGACCTCAAATTTTCAAACTCAATTTTTAGCAATTCTAGACCCCGTAGCGCAAAACAAAGACCACCATTAGACTCCCCGTGACGAGCTGCATCGAATCAATACCCATTTTATGCAAAACTATCAACTTTAAAATTTGACCTTTTTTGGCCTGACCTTGACCTGACCTTGACCTGAACTTGACCAGAAAGTGACCAAAGCCGTACCTGATAGTCTTGTAACCAGCACCATTGAGTTGGAAATGAAAAAAATTGGCCATGAAACATGCATCACATAACCTTTATAAAGTTGGGCTCATGTGACCTGACCTGTGACCCTTAGTGACCTGACCTGTGACCTGACCTGGTATTGTCAGTGACCTCTAATAGCAACATATCTACTAGGCAACTGACGCCCTATCGCTGATTCTCGACAAAATGCGTTTTCCTCGGTGTTATAGCGCATTCCCTAGAAGACCCGTGAACGGTGAAACATTTCATCTTTGACCTGACCTGTGACGTCATCGGTGACCCCGAGGTCAATGAAATTTGGTTTCCTTCGACAAATTTGACAGGCCTTTCGAACGCCGTTTGAATTTTGCGGATCCGTCCAGTAGTTTCGGAGATACGAGGGGGGGGGCAAAAAATAGCCCCCCCCACCAGGTCGCGTTATAAACAGACCCCACCAGGGCGCGGGTTAAGCCCCTTCCATGATAACTGCACCTCGCTCATCAGAAGATCTTCCCTCATTCCTATAGTGCTCGGTCGAAGTGCCGTCCTTATCGAAGCAACGGTAGCAGGCGCACCCCCATCCAGTGGCGTATCCAAGGGGGGACCCTGGGGGTCCTAGGATCCCCCCTGGAGCAAAAACGAATTTTTTTTTACTCGAAAAAAAAATAAAAACACTTTGAGGGCCCTTTTCACCACTTACATTTTTTTTTTTACATAATGAAAAGTATCAATTACATTTTTAGGGACCCTTTTAGGACTATCAGAGGACCCCTTTAGGCCAACGAGGGACCTTGTAGAGTAAATTAAGGGCCCTTTACAACGAACAGGACCTTCTCAGGCACACAGAGGGCCCTCTCAGGCTCTCAGAGGGCCCTCTCAAGCACTCAGAGGGCCCTCTCAGGCCCGAGGGCCCTCTCAGACATCTCGAAGAGGTCGAAAAGAGCCCTCTGAGCTCAAAGAGGGCCCTCTGAGATAAAAAAGGGCCCTCGGAGGCAACAGAGGGCCCTACAATGCAACAATAGAGCCCCCTGTGGTCACCAAAGGGCCCTCTGAGGCGAAAAGGGGGTCGTTTTAGGCAAACAGAGGGCCCTTTGAGGCAAACAGAGAGCCCTCTGAAGGGGCGAATAAAAGGACCCTCTGAGACGAACGGGGGCCAGAGCCCAGATGGCCCTCTCAGGCACTCAGATGGCTCTCTCAGACACTCAGAGGGCCCTCTCAGGCACTCAGAGGGCCCTCTCAAGCACTCAGAGGGCCCTCTCAGGCACACATAGGGCCCCCTCAGGCACACAGAGGGCCCTCTCAGGTACACATATGGTCCTCTGAGACACACAGAGGGCCCTCTCAGGTACACAGAGGGCCCTCTCAGGCTCACAGAGGGCCCTCTCAGGCACACATAGGGCCCCCTCAGGCACACAGAGGGCCTCTCAGGCAAACAGAGGGCCCTCTCAGACAAACAGAGGGCCCTTTCAGGCACACAGAGGGCCCTCTAAAACACACGGAGGGCCCTCTCAGCTACACAGAGAGCCCTTTCAGGCACACAGAGGGCCCTCTCAAACACACAGAGGGTCCTCTCAGGCACACAGGAGGCCCTCTCAGGCACACAAAGGCCCTCTGAGACACACAAAGGGCCCTCTCAGACACACAGAGGGCCCTCTCAGGTACACATATGGTCCTCTGAGACACACAGAGGGCCCTCTCAGCCACACAGAGGACTCTCTCAGGTACACATAGGGCCCCCTCAGGCACACAGAGGGCCCTCTCAGGTAAACTACACAGAGGGCCCTTTCAGGCACACAGAGGGACCTCTCAAACACACAGTGGGCCCTCTCAGGTACTCAGGGGCCCTCCCAGGCACACAAAGGGTCCGCTAAGACCAGCAGAGGCCTGTTAAGACGAACAGAAGGGCCTCTGAGGTACGAGGGTCAATTTCAGGCCACAAGGTACCCTATGAGGCCACAAGGTACCCTATGAGGCCACCAGACGGCCCTCTTAGATCAAAGATGGTCCCTGGAGGTCACCAGAGGGCCCTCTGAGGTGAACAAAGGGCCCTCACAGCCACCTCAAAGAGGGCCCTCTGAGATCGAAGAGGTCAAAGAGATCAAAGAGGGCCCTCTAAGGCGAATGGAGGGCCTTCAAAGGCCACAAAGTGCCCTCTCAGGTCACTGGAGGGCCTTCTGAGGTGATATGATGCTATGTCAGACCACCATGAGCCCTATGAGGTCATCAGGCCCTCTGAGATCAAAGAGGGTCCTTGGAAGTCATCGGAGGACCCCTTGAGGCCCCTTGAGGCGAACAAAGGCCAGAGGGCCCCCTTAGACACCACAAAGAAGTAAAAAAGATCCCTCTGAGTTCAAAGACAGCTCTCTGAGATGTAATAGGGCCATTTGAGGCCTCTGAGGGCCCTCTGATGCCACAGAGAGGCGCCCGCTGATACCAAAATAGGGTCCTCTGAAGTCTGAAGCCACCAGAGGGCCCTCTGAGGCGAATAGCGGGTCCTCACATCCACTTCAAAGAGGGCCGTCTGAAAATCAACTGGCCCTCGGAGTCAGTGTCCCAAAATTGTATTTTGGCTTGGGTGTCAGAGGGGGAAATAGGTCACCCAAAAGGGGGATAAGAGTGGACAATTGTCAGTCACAGGGCAGCCGGAGCCCTCTGAGAAGGTCACTTGAGCCTTACACCAGAGGGCCCTCTGAGGTGATATGAAGGCTATGTCAGGCCACTATGGGCTCTATGAGGTCAGCAGGCACTCTGAGGTAAAGACTGGCCCTCTGAGGGGAACAGAGGGCCCTTTAGGACAATCAGAGGACTTTTTAGGCCAACTAGGGGCCTTAAGAGGTCAACAAAGGGCCCTTTGGGACACAAACAGGGTCTCTCAGGCCACCAGGGGCCTCATGTATTAGACAAACATACGGCCATCTGAAGTAAAAGAGGACCTTTTGAGGTAAACAAGGGCCCCTGGAGAGAAAACAAAGGGCAATTTCAGGTACCCAGAAGGTCCATGGAGGCCACTAGAGTGCCCTTTGAGGCCAGTGATGGTCTGCAGAGGCCATCAGAGGGTCCCTCTGAGGGTAACAGAGGGTCCTTAACCCTATTAGTGGCAGGGGGGAGGGTTGTTTTTATCCACCCCTCAGGTTTTTCGGGAATATCTCCGAAACCGCTGAAGCTACGATGCTGAAATTTTCTGACTTTTCCTAAAACTAAATTGGGCTTATTCCCTGAAAATTTCAAGTTCATAACTTTGCCAGGGGCGGCTCCAGAGCACTGGGAATTGGGGGTCCTATTCGTGAAGCGAGTCATTTGGGCGAAGATCACGATGCTGCACCAGTTTTACGAACAGTGAATGAAAGGTATCATGTGATAACATATACAGTTATTGTGCATCCTCTTTTGACACGTTTTTGCTATAATAGGCGGATCCAGGCGTCCAAAAAGGGGGGTTATGTTTTACCTCCCAACATAGGTGCCCTGACACCGCCTATGCATGACCAATACAATTGTAGTCGTTCTCTCATAAGAAAATTGTAACATAACAAGACCATTACCACCCTTTTTAGAAACAGTACCAACAAAAACCTTATTTACTATACTTTTTGTGTACCTCCAATCTCAATGATCTGTATCCGCCTATGATTTTTGAAAATGCATATTTTTAGGATCCATGTGAATTCCTGGTTCATTCTCTATCGATCGGCAAAAGTTGCGTTAGGATTGGTTCAGAAACCTGGCCGTGATAAACAGTCTAAAATGTATCTGCAATTTGCCCGTTTTTACCCCCCTCTACCCCCCCTGTT